CTTGATAGGGAAGCTGGATAGATGTTTGTTTCAAGTCCTGCATCCTTGAACCACGCCGATGTAATTTTTGACACAATGTTGTAACAAAGTCCCTTCATAAGGACACACATTGGAAGTATAAGTAGTATTTGTTACAATGCAGTTTTACCTATACTTATGGCAAATTAAGCATTCCTGACACATGGAGATCTTTTCCAGGGAAGGAAGTCAAGATAAATGCTTTGGAGTTTTAAGATAAATTTCTTTATTTATAAATGCTTATTTATAAATATATGATCATGCATCACATATATGTTTGGTAGGAAAAAAAATGAGAGATTACATAAGTATGTGTACGTTTAAGTACGTATAGGGGATGATGGTGGGAAACGTGGAGCCCTGGTGGTGCAGTGGTTAAGAGCTACAGCTGCTAACCAAAAGGTTGGCAGTTCCAATCCTCCAGTCGCTCCTTGGATACCCTGTGAGACAGTTCCACTCTGTCCTATAGGGTCACTATGAGTCGGAACTGACTCAACAGCAACGGGTTTGGTTTGTTTGTTTTGCTTTGGTTTAAGATACATTACTTTAAAGCAGGATGTGGCTGGTAAAAAAAAAAAAACTAACAATTTAATCCAAAGAAATGTGGTGAAAGGAGAACGTGAGTGATGCTTTAAGAGCCCTGGATTCTGTATGTTGCCGTTTCTCAGCTACAATAGTTGCAGGACTCTACCTACATGATGGAGAAAAATCCTTTAACAGCTCTTGACGAAAGTCTGCTTGCACATAAAAACCACAGAAAAAGAAATAATAGTAAACGTAGGTTTTCAGAGATGATATACTTTATGTATTTGCAACAAGTTTCAAAGAACTTGGAAATTCTTTTAATGCCCAAGAGTAGGAAACACTGAGATAGCGCATGACTGCAAAAGGATAAGCTGTGTCTCAGTAACATTTCACGCTTTAGATTCAGGTCGAATGATACCCATAGGAATTGCATAAGCCGTTTAAATTTAATGAATCTCAGTCTCTTCGTCTGTAAAAGAGAGACTAGAACTAGATGGCATCTGGAGTCCCTTCCAGCCCCCAGCCTCAATGAACCTAGGATTCCATGACTGTTATTCTCAGCTCCAAGTATAAAGTTATAAAGTAAACACAAACAGAATGGAACGTGGTGCTCACGATCCCGTAGTTCAGTGAATGGCAAGCATCCTGTCTCCTCTTCCTTCATTGAACGATGTGTCTTTAACATGAAATGGAGTAGGATTTTGACAGTTTTTCCCCTAATTTGATCACTTCAGACTATCAGCTCAAATAGTTCAAATCTCACAGGTGTTTGTAATTAGGATACAAATCATTCGTAGAAGAAAGGTGATAGACCAAAAACCCCCCTGACGGCTCTTCTGGTCCATGCACGTGACTGAGGTCTGGCTAAGACTCCA